GATCAATGCAAAGAAATAGAGGAAAAGAAAGACTAGAGATCTCAAGAAAATTAGAGATACCAAGGGAACATTTCATGCAAAGATGGCCACAATAAAAGACAGAAATGTTATGGACTTAACAGAAGCAGAAGATACTGAGAAGAGGTGGCAAGAATACACGGAAGAACTATACAAAAAAGAAATCATGACCCAGATAATCACGATGATGTGATCACTCACCTAGAGCCAGACATCCTGGAATGTGAAGTCAAGTGGGCCTTAGGAAGCATCACTATGAACAAAGCTAGTGGAGGCGATGGAATTCCAGTTGAGCTATTTCAAATCCTAAAAGATGATGCTGTGAAGGTGCTGCACTCAATATGCCATCAAATTTGGAAAACTCAGCAGTGGCCACAGGCCTGGAAAATGTCAGTTTTCATTCCAATCCCAAAGAAAGGCAATGTCAAAGAATGCTCAAACTACCGCACAATTGCACTCATCTCACACGCTAGCAAAGGAATGCTCAAAATTCTCCAAGTCAAATTGAATATATTTACTAGGTACTAGACATAAAAAAAGGGCTTCCCAGGTAACTTTAGCAGTAAAGATACACCCCCACCCCCCCACTCCCTCAACCCCCCCTGCCAATGCAGGGGCTGTAAGAGACACTGGTTTGAACCCTGCCTTGGGAGGATCCCCTGGAGGTGGGCATGGCAACCCACTCCAGTACTCTTGCCTGAAGAATCCCATGGACAGAGGAGCCTGGTGGGCTGCAGTCCATGGGGTCGAAAAAAGCCAGACATGACTGAACCTACTTAGCATGCAGATATACATAAAATATGAGTTTTCAGTATTGCTTGCTTTTCTTTACAGAACCAAGTTCTTGCTTTCCTAGCCTGATGTTCAAGACTTGAGTATGTAGTTCTCATGCATCTCCTTATGTAGAAGACTCTTAAAACCCCGTTAGTACTTACTGTATCTCCAACAAGCCACGCCCTTGCTAGTCTCAGTAATTTCCAATGTGCTTTTCTCAGCCTGTGTGGCAGAAATACTTGCTGAATTCTCCGGCAGTCCAGTGGTTAGGACTCATGTGCTTTCACTGCTGTGGGCCAGGGTTCAGTCCCTGGTGGAAGAACTAGGATCCCACAAGCTGCACAGTACAGTCAAAAAATACACACACAAAAAACGAAATTTCCTCTCAACTCACAGAACCTCTCCACAAAGTTAGAAGAGAAAGAAAACAATTTTATTATCGGATAAGTATTAAACCAGAATGTGATGCGCATCACAATGAAGAAAAACGCAAACATAGAAATCCTACTCTTCTATATAGCTAAAAGCACATAACCCGTTACCCTAGGCAGGTTATGCAATTTGAAGTCAGGCGACAAGTGGGCTCTTAACCTTCCAAGACACAAGGAGATCAGAGTTTCAGTCCCTTGACAGTATTTCAGAAAGAGGGTTCCCAGGCCCTTTGAAACATAATCTTGAGTTGTGTGCTGCCTTTGGCCTGCACCAGCCTGCCCAAGCCCCTCTCCCCGCTGGCTCCGGTACTCATGTTTCTATACGAAGCCCGAGTCCCTCAGTCCCCGCCCCGAGGTAGCAGTAAGGCGGTGCGCCTCCCATCCACTTCTCACTGCAGCCGAAAAGGAGCAGCTAAACCATACCCCGCCTCGCCCCGGCGCTCTCGTGACGTCATCTCCTGGCGCCGCGCAGGACCGCGGGTCACGTGATGCACGTACCGCTGCCGGCGGGAGGCGTGGTGACGCAAGTAGAATGTGCGCGACTGCAGGCAGGTGGGATTGCGGTGGTGAGGGTGCTCCTGGACGTTGTTACCATCCACTGCCATCGAGGGTCCCAGGTGGTGCCTGCGACCTGCTAAGTACAGGTGAGGATCGTGGAGGCTGGAGGCCCTGCTCGGGTGTGACTTGCCAGGCGCTGGACCCAGTGGGAGCTGGCGCGCTCTCCCCAAGTTGTCCCGCGCTTGGGCCCGTAGGTCCGGTGCGCATTCCGGGTGTTCGGCCCTGGCGGTTCGATCCCGCGGTTGCAGGGGGACTCTAACCGATCTTCTCCGAGTCCTGTTCGGAGTATACGTGCGGGCTTGGCGGGCGGCGCCGGGAGGAATAGGGTTTTGGGTATGACCTCCCAAGGGGCGAGAACTAGGGAGGCGATACGAGACCTGCCTCTAGCTGACCGTGTGCCCCCTCCAGGTGGACGACCCTCGGCTGCTCCGCAGCAGAGCTCCTGTAAGATGTGCTGGTAAGTGATGCTACCCCGGCCCAGCCCCCCGCTCCCAGAAGTGGGTCCCCGTTTTTGGTCTGCAGTTCCTAAGTGTTCTCTGAATAGTAAAAAAAAAAAAGAAAAAGAAAGAAAGAAAAATACCGAGAATATGAAAGACACAGCTATTTTGTTTAATGATGTGATGGTGAGGATATTTATAGGCTCGTAAGAAATGAAGTTAACCCTGTTCTGTCAGGTTGCCTCCCCCAGGGCCGTTTCCCTCACTCTCTGAGCCAGAAAAGATTGTTGTCCCTCGTCTGTTCTTCCCTACTGTGTGTCTTATTTGTGTCCGTGGAAACCCGAGTAGGCCTAATTCAACCTCCTGATCTCTTTCAGGTTCTGGTGCAGGCTGGTGCTCAGTGAAAGTACTACTGTCTGCCCGGAGCTTTAGGAACTTGAAGGAATGTGGGCCGCAAGCCTCCAGCGTGCTTGGGTCTGCGGTGACCCTGTGCATTCCTACAGTGCTTGCAAGAAAATTTTGAGACGGTTTGAGGCCTTGCCCTGCTCCATCCAGAGCAAGGTTATAGAAATTTCAGACAGTTGCTTGTTCCCTTCCCTGTCTGGCATTCTGGGCGGCGCACAGACCTGTACTGTTTGATGTGACCACTCGACACATATGGTTACATTTAAAACTCAGTTTTTCCTTCACACTACCTACATTTTAGGTGCTCACTAGCCACATTTGGCAAGCGACTACTATATTGAACCATGCAAATTGGAGAACATTGATAGCTTTGCAGAAATTGTTTTGGACTTTGGGTGTTAGGTGTGTTCCAGGCTCTTTGAAAATTTTATTCTATCTTCCCAACAAAACTCTCACAGAAGAAAATGAAGCTTAGAGGGAATGCTAAAGGTGGAGTTAGACCAGCAGCAGGGAATATAGAGTAGAAGGAAATAATGGGGATAGGCCCTGCCCTGAGGGACTGACATACAGGGTGTTACTATTAGCTGGTAAACAAGATAGAACCAAAGACTAAGTTCTGCGACAGTGCTGGGTGCCCATGGAACTTACAGAGGGTGATGGTCAGTATGCATTGATTGTAAAGGAAGACCTCATGGGCCAGGAGGGCACAAATGTTGGTTGAACTATGCTTTGTGCCCAACTTAATTGTTAATCCTATTTAAATCTTTGAGGACCACCATAAGGTAGCCTTAGGTCCAATGCAGATGAAGGAGTCATGATCAGAATTGTGTGCCCGGCTTTCCTAGCCAGAAAATGGCAAGTTAGGCCTCTCCAATCCTACAGTCTGCTCTTTTCCAGAATTCCAGAGAGGGAGAGAGGAATGAAATCCAGAAATGGGTAGGAAGTTTGGATTGGAGGGAAATGCCATTGGTGTGAGGGCTGTTGGGTCCAGGCACAGATACACCAGGATGGAGAGGGCGGCCAGCATGGTCATAGCAGGGACAGCACAGCTCCGGTGCTCCTGGACAGTGGGATCACACCACACCTTCTCCCCTGAAGGTCAAAGCTTCTAGCAAATTTGGATCCGTCTCTTCAGTGCAAGCGTTGAACACGCCCGTCTCCTGAAGTTGCTGTCAGAGGCACTTCTAGGTGAGTCTCATGTTTCTGCAGTCCTCAAGAGTGAGATTCTAGCTGCCTTTGGACTTTATTTTCAAAGATATTCAAGTAACAGACAGCCTTGGGACATTTGACGTAGTGCCTCCAGGGCAGAGAGCAGGCACGCTTTCTGTCCGATGTAAAGGATTTGGCTTTCCTGTGCTCAGAGAGCCTTTTCTGTGATGCAGCCCACTGCATGTGCAGGTGCCTTCTGGCTCCCCTTGTGTCACCTGTGGGAAATGGGGCTGGTTGGAGAACACCGATGCTCTAGATGTTGCTGTGGTGAATAAGCAACTCCTACCAGCATCCGTGTAACTGACAGGCTGCTTTGTCACCTGCTTTTGGTTGTGGGTATATCAGATCCTTCACAGTTCCTGACAGGCACTGCCCCCCAACCCAGCAGGCTCTGCACTGTGTTCCTGCTCCAGCTTCAGCAGCAGACATCCCAGGATGAGAGAACTAGAAGAGACTTGAGAGGTGATTCCTTCCATGGATCCATGGATGATAGATTCTTCCAGGGAATCTGCAGTGGTAAGTATGCCAGGTCTGTCCTAGCAGATCATTTCTGTTCATTTGCTGTAGGTCTTCCTGCCAAGAGGTTCAAAACCATCCACTTAATTTAATAATCCCTGTCTATATCCTTTATTTTTGCAACAGGCCTCCATGCTGTTTCCAGCTTGTTTTAACAGATGAAAAAGTGGGAACTGAGGTGGTGGCTTGCCCACAATGATGCACCTGGTGAAAGTGCAGCAGAATTTGAACCCAGTCCTTTGCACCAGTTTTCTGAAGAAGTTTAAATCCTCACTTGTTCCCCTTCCAGGAGTCAGGAATTTCTGGTTCTTGGCCCAGCTGACATATGCACATGTGACTGACCTCCTCTGACCCCAGGTTTGGATGCCATATTGTCTGCTTCCAGAACAAGGATCTTCACTATACATTGGGACCCAGGCCCCTCTGACATCTCCTGAATAAAAAGCGATGTTTAATAAAACAGTTTAAAATTTGTAATTCCGCCCAGCCTCTGTTTCTCTTTTTTGTGTGTTAGATACAAAGAGGAGGGCCCTGCCCTTCCTGAAGGAGTTTCAGCCAAGTTTGAGGGAGCCCCTGAGGTGTCTCGCATTCCCATTGCTTTTGAGACTGCAGAGTCCTAGAGCACTAGGACCTGTCATCAAGAGCTGTACCTTGAGATCCCAGAGTGGGTTCCACTGACTTAACAGGGTTCTCTGGCTCTTATTCTCTACACCAGTGTGGGTCAGACTTGGTTACACGCTGAAGTATTGAGACCCCAGCATATGGATTGATACTTTTAGGATGAGTTGCTCCATCCTCAAGGTTTTTTCATCGCATAAACTGTTTTATAATTGAAGCCTATTTAGCTTGTTTTTGGTGATCTCTTCAAGGAATGTCAGCAGGTTAGGCCAAGGCTGATTGAGCCAGAAAAAATTAAGTAAGCCACGTTTACGTTCAGTTTGTTACTGATGTCATGAATGGAAAAGTACCCAAAGGTTCCTTCACCCTGAGTCACTGCAGCTACATCCTGAGGGGGCAGAAGCAGAAAGCCTCACACCTCAACCGCATACCAGGGGAAACCCTGCTGATGGCCTCCCTAGTGAGGTAGCAGCTCCTCACAAGCACCCTCAGGCTGGGTCATGTGTTCTTTGCGGATGTGGGCGGTTCCAGGGCCCTTGGATGGACCCTTCCCTGCAACTAACTCAAAACTAGTGTGCTCTGAGACAAGGCAAAAGTAAAAGCAAATCCTAAAATGGGTACAGCTGTGTAGGAGAGCTAAGAAATAGGAACTGGAGTCCTGCTACACAGGTCAATGGCATCAGTAAGGGGAGCCAGAGTGGGGGTCATTGAAGGGACTGGATAGAAGGCATTCTGAAATTGACCTAGATAACCAATGAAACTTAACCCTCAGCCCCCAGGAACCCCTCCCAGCTGTCCTTCCTCACCCACCTGTTACCTAGGCAGCTGCCCCAGCTTGTCACACCCTTCCCCGGGGAAGTGGCAAATAGGGCTGCCACTTTCCCTGCCTGAGAAGAGGCAGGGGCCAGCAGACCCGGAGGTCCAGCCAGATTCAGGAGGAGAAAGGAGCTTTGGTGTGCTGTCATTAGCCTCGTGAGATAAACGAGGTACCGAGTGGGAAGCCCTTTTGCAAGTTGTCAGAGTGGAGACAGTAATCATGACTGCAGTTCAGGGTCACAGCAGTAGGATCTGGCGAGCTCCACCCACAGGCCAATCCCCAACCTAAGAACAATCTTGACATCTTTACATGGGAAAACTATTCTGTGACATGAAAATTTTATCAAGTTCAGGTTTCAGTGTCTCAAGTTTCACTGGAACAACCATATCATTTTTTATGCGTGTTAATTTAATGTAAACCCTGGCCTGGGAGGTTGGGGAGGCCCAAAGCTTGGGGAAGTGAAACCTTGAGGCTCTGTGAGAACTCCCCAGATACTCCTGAACTTCGGTTTGGAAAACCCTTCAAAAGCACCAGCCCAAGAGGCAGGGGATGAGAGGGTGTTTTTAAGAGACTGGGAGGATAAAACCTGAGGAGACTTTGCTCAAAAGAAGCTCCAGGCCTGGCACAGGGTGGAACCAAAACCTGATCCTCACAGAAGGGTCCCCTCAGAACAGTGGTGTGTAATAATGCGAGGCTTGGTTTTTTCAGGCATTTGAAAATTAGCACTTTACAATTTTGATGGTGTTAATTCAGTCACTAAGTCATGTCTGACTGTGCGACCCCATGGACTGCAGCATACCAGACTTCCCTGTCCTTCACTATCTCCTGGAGTCTACTCAAACTCATGTCTATTGAGTCATTTTAAGGTATTTGAAGAGAAAAAAGCCTTGCATATCAAACAATATTTCAAAATAAACTAGTTCTTTGAGTACAGAATCCCAAAGGTAGTAGAGAGATGACTGAAATTTGGGAAACATTGTCCTCCCCGTGTGAGGGGAGAAATGAGAACTGTCCCCTCCCCAACCCTAATCAAGACACCATGTGGTCAAAATCTGAGCTGGCCAGTCTGGCCACTTCTAAAGGTGCTGCGTGGTCTATAGAGCAAAGTGAGGCCACACCTCTGTGAGGTGAGGACCGAGGTGGGATGGGGGGCCTGGAGCAGTTCCTGTCCTTACTGCTAGAGAGACAGGCACGTGGACCTCAAGGACACAGGACCCTCCCAGGAAGCATCCAGAAGCCTGAAAGACTGAGTACCAGCATGATGAACCCAAAACAGGCCCCTGGTCGTGGCCCGGTATGTCGTGAAGCTGGCTTTGTCATTTGTCATTTGTCATTTATCCTGGCGTGGTCTCACACACTTGAAAGATTACTGCCTAGGTTTCTGCCCCAAAGGCCTGGGTATCATCAGCATTCTTTGACTTTTTCTCAAGGTACAACGTGCCTACACTAAAATCCATCTAGAATTGAGGTCTGAGAGTTGACGGACACACAAGAGTTTTGTAGCCAGGACCACATCAAGAAATCTCTCCTCAGGGTCCCACAAGTGACCAGCAGGGCCGGGGACTGCAGAGGCTCCTCTGCTTGGGGTGAGGGTGAGATCACAGAGGGTCGGAGTTTCCTTGACCGCCTCGACCTCAACCGTTAGGCACGCCCGGAGGGGAGGGAACCAGGAAGCAGGGGTCAGAACCCCTTGGGAGGGGACAGCAAGCGGGACGGCAACCCCTTCCCGGAGCCAAAAGAACCCACTTCCTACTTCACCACACTGCTGGGGCGGCAGGCGGGGAGGCTGCGAGCAGGGAGGGCTGGGCCTGTGCGAGAGCACCCCTCCCCTCAGCCACTCTGCACAGGAAGGTTGGGGCAACCTGGCCTGGGTGCTTCCCGCGCCGGCAGGATGGAGGACGATGAAGGCCCTGAGTGCGGCAAGCCCGACTTTGTGCTTTTGGACCAAGTAACCATGGAAGACTTCATGGAGAATCTGAAACTCAGGTAGACCCAGGGCATGGGCTCCCCTTCTCCCTGTCCCCATCCCCAACTGGTCTCCATCAGCCCACCATCTGGGTGACCGCAGGGAGATGTCGGGGCTGGGAGGACTGTCCCCTCAGGGCCAGGACAGTCAGCCAGTGCTAGAGCAAGCTCCCCAGGTCCGTGCCTCCCACACAGTCCAGGTGTCTCCTGAGCCGTCTTCTTGGCAGGGGCAGGCAGGTGCCAGGCATCTGGACCGAGTGGCCGCTGCATCTTCCTAGTGAGGCTGTGCTGAGCCCTGGGGGCTCAAAGGGAAGTGGTCAGGTAGCTCCCTGGGGTGCAGGGGGGCAAACGGAGATGACACTCTCAAGGGGACATGTGGGGTGCTTCAGGGTGTGGCTGGCAGAGGTGACACGGGGCCCTATTTGCCGGATGGCAGAGGGCAGGGAGGAGCTGGTGGTGACGAGGGGTGGCAGCAGGAGCTAGCTTCATCCCTGGACAGCCACAAGGAGCCGAAGGTAACCCCCTGTGCAGAGCCTAGGGACAGGTCCCTCTGAGCCCAGATGGTTGAAGTCAGACACCACGGGCCCTGAGTCAAGGCCAGGGTTGTGGGATGGAGAGTCAGACCGGAAATGAGCTTCTCTGTTGTATGAGGCACAGAACTAAGCAGATTACAAACCAGCTTCTGAGATAGGTACTACCATCACCATATTAACACTGGGACCCTGAACCCGGGGCCGCACAGCTTGCAGATGGAGAGTCTGTCTCCAGCAGGTCCTGAGTGTGCAGGGAGCCAAGCCGGAGAGCTCCTGTGTCCGAAGCAGTGGAGGAAGGGGAACCTGGGACCGGCAGTCAGGGGCAGGGTGGGTCCCAGACACCACGGGGAGCAGGCGGGCTAGGGCTCCTCCCAGGGCAGAAGGGTCAGGAGACACAGGCACCCTCGCGGGTGACTAGGTTCACGTCGAGGGTCGAGAGGTCTGAGGAAGTGCAGGGGGAGGCTGGCGGCACTGCTGCCCCAGGCACCCTCCCAGTGCCTCCCAGTCCCTGCCGTCTGGGTGGGGCTGGGCGGGTCCTGCTTCTGCTTCTCGGTCCCCGCCCAGGTCTTGAGACGGAAACAACTCCCTCCCTCCTCCTCCCGCCCCCATCCCTCCCCAAGCTCAACCCCATCGCCTAAGCTGCCAGTTCTGCCTGACCCAGTGTGGCCTTGGGCAAGTCAGTCCCTTGATAAAACAGAGTCAGGATTCCTGTGACTCCACCCCATGGAGAGCAGCTTGGATCCCAACACTACCTTGTGTGCGGGTGAGGCTCCCAGCAAGACAGCACCGGGAGACTCAAGTCAACCCCACCACTTCCCCGCCACGCGCTTCTCTGCCCTCAGCCCTGTGGGTGGGCCAGGGCCCCAAGGCTTCCCACCTGGGCCCTATGCCCCAGGACCTAGGTGCGTGCCCCCTTGGTCCTGAACACTGAGGCCCTGCCCTGCCGGTGCCAGGTTCGAGAAAGGCCGCATCTACACATACATCGGTGAAGTGCTGGTGTCCGTGAACCCCTACCAGGAGCTGCCGCTCTACGGGCCGGAAGCCATCGCCAGGTACCAGGGCCGCGAGCTCTATGAGAGGCCACCGCACCTGTACGCTGTGGCCAACGCCGCCTACAGGGCGATGAAGCGGCGGTCCAGGGACACCTGCATTGTTATTTCAGGTACCTGCCTAGCATTCAGGGGCCCAGGTGCAGGCTCACAGCCTTCCTGGGTCCCAGTGCTTTCATTTGTCAATGATAATGTGGTGGTTGGAGTGCCTGGGAGTACGGGTGGGCACAGGGAGCTGGCTAAGGGGGAGCAGCCAAAAATTCTGACTGTCCATCTGTTGCTGGCAGGAGAGAGTGGGGCAGGGAAGACAGAAGCCAGTAAGCACATCATGCAATACATCGCAGCCGTTACCAACCCAAGCCAGAGGGCCGAGGTGGAGAGGTGAGGGCAGTGAGGCGGGGGTGGTAGGGAAGGGCTGGCCTGTGTCTTGTGCCTGATGGAGGGCAAGAAACACAGTGGAGCCCAGCTGAGGCCAAGTTGAGCCCAGCTGAGGCTGTCA